TGTCATTAGAGCTGTGTGTACTGGCTGATTTGGCCAGATAATGCAAAATCGAAGAAAATCAGTAGGACATTTTTGTTTTTAATAATCCTGTCTTATAAATCAGAAAATAAACCAGTATTTGAATGGGATCATTCTAAATCTCCTTTCAAACTTCACAAAGTTATAAACAAATATAGTTGGACTAGTATATACTGATTTTTTCCAAGAAATTTTGTTGTTTATTTATTTCAAAATCGCTTAAACCTAGTCCAGGGACTTGCCCTATCGGTTAAGCTACTGCCACTTTTGCTCCATCTAGTGGAATATTGATTTTCGCTCAGTATTAACAGAATACATAATACAACCTTTACCTGCTGAAGACAGACAACATCTGTACTGCTTTTTCTTACTGTGAAATGACGTTACATTGATGAAGCAATCACTTAATTTCTTTTTATAACAACCACAAAAACCATCGACCTTTATAAATACAACATGGTAAATTTGGAAGAAGCAAATTTGCTACATTCTTTACTTTGCACGAAGTAAATTACTTGAAGTAATTCCATTTCTCTACTGAGTAAGTACAAGGAACCTTGCTTGCAGGGAAGGTTAGTCTAATAGTAATCTCTGAAGTTCCACAATTAACAGCAAAGACAGAGTCTATTTATAAAGTTTGAGGTAAAAGTTAAGAGGAAATGAAGCCTTCTCCATAGCAAATATAATTAACAAACCAACAAGTTTTAAAAATGTATTTTCTTCACCTGGAGTGTTAATAAAAAGTTACACTAATATATTAATATTAATAGTAAAATATCATTATTAACATTACATAAATGCATTTATATCTTATTTGGACAATGAGTAGCTATTGATTAAAGTCCTCATCCAAAATGAGAGGTACGGATCTGTTAGTAGTCTGATGTCGCCAAAGGCCGTACCACTTCTGATACTACAGTCTAGTATAAAAACCCAGAATACAATTTTCCTTTATTCTCCAATCCCACCCCAAGGAGTCAAAGTATTTTAAAGAAGTTTAATTTCCTCCTCTTTAATTTTTTTTTTTAATGAATTGAAATTTTCTTGTCAGGAATGGAAAATTCCGTGGCAGTCCTGGCCAGTAAAACGGTGCATATGTATGTTTCAACATTGTGGAGCTAGCTCCGTAGTAAAAATTGGCAATGACCCATATGTATTAAAAGTGGAGTGTCCCCAACTTATTTGAAAATTTACCTACTTAAATTATCCCTCAACCTATTGCAATTTGATTTATAATCTGCTGTTTCAACAGACTAAATGAACCCATTAAAAACAAACATACTGTAGATATTTATATCGGGAATAAAATTTCTCTGGGGAGGATGCAATTTATGGAAGCAGAAACATTGGAAGGAAGTAACAAATTGAGGTCCTGGTTTTCTAATGAAGGATTGGAAACTGAGTTCTGCTTAAAAAAGCAAGAAAAAAAAAGAGATGTGATTATTTTTCACTCATTAGCATTTAAGTCAGTAGCAGGATATTTCACAAGTTTTAGATAGATTTTTTTAAAAGTAGATTTAGTTAGTAGTTTGTTAAGTTTAATTTTTATAGTCACATATGCAAGTAATTGATAGAAAGGCAGATTATCTACATATGCCCCACTGCATTTAACCATGATAAATAAAAATATCTGTCTGTAACTTCAGAACTAGATTCTAACAAGGAAGAAGAGTCTGCCTACTACACTCCAGAAGAACAAAACAGATGCAGGTCTACCCAGAATCTGGTTCTTAGGCCAGATGGACTTTTATTACACGTCATGGTCTGTCTGACAGGCTTATAAACAAGATATAATCTTGTCTATGATTAATATTTTCCCTTACATAAATATTTGAAAGACACAGTATGTATCTTTTCTATCAATGTGCTAAATAAGCTACTAATCTTCACGATATTTTGAATTTTATGCATTAATGAAATTGAGATCCTCAAACAAACATTGTTTTTCCTCAAAGTCTGCATATAGCATTTCCATTACATGAAAGGCAGAGTGGAAAAACATGTTCATGGTTTCACTTTGATTTCCACAACTTCTTTTGTCAGAGGCCACATGCCTACTTGGAATTATTATCCAAAGTGTAATTCTTCACAAGCAGACTAATAAATGGTATAGTACCATTTTCCTCACAATTATGTATTTTAAGAATGTGGCAAGTCCCTATTGCTGGTGTAGAAAATGAAATTAGCCCCTTGGAGAGGGTATGATCAATGCCGTGTTAATCTAACCTTCAGCTTTAATGATCTGCATGAGGATTCCCCTTGATGCTGAAATATTGTTTTAAGAGTTCCTGTCTTTTGCTGAAAGGGGACTGGGTGGAGTGGCTCCTGAGGATCTGCTTTCCTTCTCCACTTGTGTGCGCGCGTGCGCTCGTGTGCACGCGTGCTTAATAGGGACAAAATAAATGAAAATATTTTAAAATTTCTTTTTCAGATAATTTGCTTTGCTGAAATGCTTTAGGTAAAAGTTATAAAAGATAAAATCCTTGCAAAACTTATAAAATTATCCACATTTCATAATTTAGAATTGCTGGCCACACCTACAAGAACAACAAGCAACTCGCTGTTCCCATTCAAAATACAACTATGGAAAAATATGCTCCACATTCAAGTTCACAACTTCTTTCAAAAGGCACCAGGGTGAACAGATTGTGTCAGCTTAAAGAGTGTTCTGGGGAGTGGGCTGTGAAGGAAAGGCGCTGCATGTTTCCATCCCAGAAGGACTGCTTTGTTTTGGTCTCTCGCTTTCTCTCCCTCTCCCCCTCCCTCTCTCTCTCTCTCTCTCTCTCCCTCTCTCCCTCCCTCTCCTCTTTTACTAATCATATATGTATTTGATTCTTATGTACCTGTTAAAACTCTGTGCCCTTTTTATCACACTGCTGAGCAGAAATATAGTACTAAGGATGCAGTTTCTATTTGTAGCAGTTATCATGTTAAGAGAATAATCTAATTCCACTTGTGACCAAAGTCCAACCTGAAAAAGTAAAAGTCATGCTGAAGCATTCACTCAGCTTGATGTCTCCTTGAGTTCTTAATAAATTCATTCCAACTCAACAAAATATGGGATCCCTAATTGTACCTGCAGGGCACCTCTCAATTATCAAGTTATTCTTACAGTTCATCAATTGTCTGATTTCCATGAACTTGTACACTTAACTTCCTCAAAATAAACTGCAGTAACCAACTGGGGAGTTTTCAATAATCAAATCTATATATCCTTTCAGTATGCTTATGCTGAATGTATTTCTTGCTCAATTCTGTTCAAGGGAGACATGAAATAGAGGACTTATGTATAATTTTATAAACTCTTATTTAGCATATTAGGGGAATTAACTGCCAATAACTTGGGATATTATCCTCTGATTCTGACAGCAATGTGCAACCATAGGAGATTTTCAGAGTCATTATTATGATGATTATCAAAATTATTACTATTATTATTTAATACCCATTAGCCTACTTTTCCATGGTAACATTTATGAAAGAAGTTTTACTCTTAGATTTACTTCCTATCCAAACAATTTTATGCAAGTGTATGAAATTATTCTACCTTTTATCAGTTATCTTTAAGTTTTTATTTTTAAAAATCCACCTTGGTTTCCTACTGGGTAGTTCATAGAAACATTCCAAAGCAATGAGCACTGGTCAGAAGTAAAGCTCTTAAAAAAGTAAAAGATGCAATGGGTGGGAAGGAGCAGAGCACAGAGTTCAGCAATGCAGAGCACAGAGTTCAGCAATGCA